TTTCACCTTTCTTACTGAATTTTTGTAGATTTTCTTGAACAGATGTTTCTTCCTGTGCTGTTTGTCCTTAGGATCATTTCCAAAGGCCTTTAATGGTTGTTATTGGTTTTTTAAATATAATTTCACCACTTTCACTGGGATCAGGTCAGTGGGGTTCCTCATACTGCCAAGCCAGGAGTCAATCTTCCATTATTTCTTCATAGGGTTTCTTCCCCGTTCTCTCTCTTCTCTTCTTCTGGGACTTTGATTACACATATATTAGATTTTTCTTTCATCATGTCCCATTAGTCTTTCACAGTTTTTTCTGTATTGTTTATCCTTTTGCCTCTCTGTACCTCAGTCTCAAGATTTAGTACCTCCCAGAAGGTCTTGGTATTTCCCTTTCCCTAGTGCACAGTCACACTGAAAAGTGTCTGCAGCTCCCACTGGGAAATGTTTGATGGAAGATTCATAATATACACCAGTGGCTGCAGGGTCCTACCTTAGAGGTACCCTGCCTTCCCCTTGATTGGGTAATAAGTTGAGAAACCCCACTACAGTAAACTGAAATTAGGCTTTCCAGCAGACATAGAATTTTTTTTCTGCCTGAATATGTTGGGCAGCATCCTATAGGCTGCCCAATTATTTCATTTTTAGGAATACTCTGATTAGCCATCCCCACAGATCACTGTAGGTCAAACATCATCTAATTGCCATTTCATCCCTGTGGCTTATTTGGTAGTTGCACTCACCTTGTCTCACATGATTAAGCACTGTCAACTGACCTCCACCACTCTAGGATCCCTTCATTCACATTAAGATCAAGTAACCCAATTTCACTGCAGCACTCTCCACTATCATCTCCAGCCTACAGAGCACAGGCCCACAGAAATCTTCAAGGATGCTGGTGACCCTCTCACCAATGCATTTCTCAATGCCTTGGAGCATGTCTGCACAAATGCCTCTATCCAATATATCAGGGTTCCACTCCTTCCCTACTAGTGTCCTTACCTTATTGTAAAAGCCATAGCAGGTGGAGAATTTAATTGGCAGTGGAACTCTGTGACACTATAAGAACCTGGGGTTGCTCCTCAGCTTCACCTCCCCTACGATGAGGGACTCCTTCAAACATGCCATGCAGACTTCTTGGTGCTATACATGTGTTTTCTCTTGTATTCTTATCACTTTCAATTTCTTCTTTTTCCTGTGCATACTCTTTAGGACCATCAGATGAACACAGGTGCCTCCACAAAATTTTGGATAATTATTTTTGACACGGTGCTTAAATGATACAGTGACTTGATTTCCCAAAACTCTGGATTCCACCTGTACTTCATTCCACACCACCAGTGGTGTTAATTTGAGGAAATGTGATACCACTACCTGCCATATACCAGTGAACCTCTCCTAACACCTGCTCCCCACTCTCCTGACCCCCATTGTAAGGAGGTTATTTTTTCCTCTTCAAATGAGCAACCCAATTCCTGGGGTAACTTCTGGAATCTATTACTATGTCTGAGAAGTACATGGCAGGAAAGAGGGAGTACATTCACATTAGGAAATGTGAGAATTTCTTGAATACAAGGACAATATACAAAGGTGTGGGACAGATATTGGAAAACCACAAGGGATAATGCAATACTCCATGGCTAGGAAAGGTAGGATTATCAGCCCTAGGCCTGAGGGACAAAAGGAAAGAGGGGTTACTGAAAGCCGGAGATAAAGAGCCTATGTAGAGAAGGCTACCTTCTAGGAACCTTTGTAGAAGAGACACAGTCTTTTAGTGACATTGCAGAGAACAAGCTGGGAGGAAAATTTTCTGACCACATTGTCCACTGCTGGCTCCCAAAGGACAAGGGAGCCCTTTAAGGTAGTCCATACACGCCAGACTCCCCAGGATACAGTTAGAGTGGAGGAGGGTGAAGTGTGAATCCAGATGAGAAGATGGAGAGATCTCCAGCAAACAGGTGAGGGCCACGTTAGTAGTACTCACTGGGAACCGTGCCTGCAGTGAGAAAGGATACCCATATTTCAGCTTTATTCACATTGTAAGGAGGAGGATAAAAGGCATATTGTTCATAAAAGGTTAATTCCAGCAGGACTTGGATTTCCCTGAGCTGTTCTACTGAAATAAGAAATGCACCTGTGTGGCACTGACCAATGGTAAAGGCATGAAACACACTAAGAGTGTTGTTTTATAACCATGGGTTTGAGGAGTGTGGGGTGCTTTGTACCAGTTTGTCAGCTTTATTGGTAACAAGGTTGATCATTTGCACCTGATCTTGGGGAACCTCCCCACCAAGAGCTCTGCTGTTGAAGCTGGCTATGTAACAAGGATATGCTTACATAAACAGCTGCGTACAAGAATCCTGGGCTGAGATTCCATTTTGTGCTCTTTGGTTCTGAGGTATACTGTGCACACATCAGTGGTTTCTGATCTAAAAGAAGAAGTGCTTATTGCCAGGGCTTTTATAGAGAGGGACAACAACTGAAGCTCACACCTGGCTACTCCAGACCCCCTCGCTATGACAGCTTTTGGCTGTGATGCATATCCTTAATGCTGTTGCTATATTGCATCCTTTTTTTCCTGCCCTAAACTATGAATTTGCAAGCATTGACACTTGAGGTTTAGCAATGGAACTGTTTAGCTGCCATACTTATCATAGCATCTGGAGAAGGAAATACACCATACTATGAGATGCCTTCCATTTGCCTTTGTTTATAGCCACGATTTGCTCTAAAGACTTTCAGATTCTCTTCATTAGACATACTAACCCTTGTCTTTATGAATTCTTACTCCCAAACTTTGTTTTATACTATAGAAAGGCCTTCCCCTCCCCCCCCCAAAAAGAGACATTGCACTCTTTTCTTCTGCTTATCTTATGGTGGTTTACGCTTAATGTGACTGATATCATAATGAATATATAAATCAGTGGACATTAGCCTTTAGCATGAATCAGAATCACCTAGGAAGCTTGCTAAAAATGGAGATTCTAAAGGTCCACTCAGTGGATTTGAAGGAGGGTAAGGAGTTCACATTTTCAACAAAGTCCTCTGGTGATTCTGACATGTGGTAGATTAGCACACTTTAAAAACACACATGAATAAAATGAGATAGGGCTAAATTTGTGGTACAAACCCTTCTACATGGTATTTCATTTGGAACTGCAATTCCAAACCCTGCTAGAGAAGTAGAGTCCACAGTTATTTATCTAGACTGGGATTGATCTGGGGCAAGAACATCTAACTCAGCAATTATAATTTAGAATATTTTTAAATAACCTATTACTTGTCAGGCACTGTGCTAGGCATTAGAAGTACCAGAATGGAAAGGTCAGACTGTGCTTTGCGAAGCAGAGTCCAATGTAGTATTTCCCAATGTTTTAAAAACTTCAGCCCACAATCAGAAATACAACCAGTTTTTCATCACAACTCAGGGTACACAACCATACATATATACATAACAGAAAGACAAATTTCACAAACAATACTCACCCTTCCTACCCACAATGTAGTCTGATATTTACTATTTGGCTCTAATCAATTCTATTCTACCCTACTTCATTAAAAAATTGTGGGTCTTGACTCACTGAATTTGTTTCAGGCTCTACTAACGCAGGGGGTGTGGAACTGAAGTTTGACAAACACAGGTCTATTTAATAATCTGTGATGTGTATCTTATGTAACACATATATTTATCCTTCTAGGCAAATATTTCATGTGAAAGTGGAAGTGAGGAGGCTAAGTATAGAGTCTCCTTATAAACCAGTGCTTCTCAAACTGTAATGTGCACAGAAATCACCTGCACATCTTGTTAAAATGAGGATTCTAATTCAGTAGGTCTGGGATGGGGACCTGAGAGTCTGCATTTCTAACTATCTATCAGATGATGCTGATGCAGTGGTCCGTGGACCACCATTTGAGTAGCGATGCTCTAAAGACCACAAGTGTGGGTAGGTGTGCTAACCTTGTAAGGTGGGTCCTGGAAGGAGTTTCCTAGGAGATAATTTCCTCTAAGGAAAGAGGAACAAGCAAACAAGGCACTGACAGAGGAGAAAAACAGTGTGTGCCACTCAAATTTTATCCCAGCCTCCCATATCTGAATCTGATGGAGAAATGTCTGCATGCAAGAACAAACTTTCAAAGCAACAAACATAAAGGATTGTTTTGCTAAAAAAATCTGAAATCCATTGGGGCGGAAGCATCACTGAGGTGTTACCCACTTGGGTAAGCATAACTCTAAGGAAAAAGTCTTTATCTTCACTTCTACAGGTGTCATAGGGTGAAGCAGGTTTGGGGCTCACTGGGGACTCCAGGGAAATCAATTGGGGTTTGTCACCCTGGAGACAGCAGCCCATCAGCTGCAGTGGGGGCCTTAATGGAGTGCAGGACTCCTGAGAAGGGACACAGTGCCCAGGAGACACAGCAGTACCTAGGGGAGGGTGGCACCCACCTTGCTTATTCCTAAGCACAGGTGAGATGTACCTTAACCCTCTTCCAAGTGTCTGATGGGGTCCTGGTCCTGCTAGAGTAGGGAAAAAGGTAGAAGCCAGCCCAACACAGCTCATGTATTCAGTACTTCATCTAATTCACTTGGCAATCCTGTGAGGCAAGTATTATCCCAATTTCATAGATGACAAGACTGTTCTTTACGGCAATGAATCTGTTATAACTGCCAGGTTTATTCCTCCAGATATGAGTCAAGAGGTAATGTGAGTTTTACATATCATTTTAAGTTCTGACAATAAGAATTTTAAGTGTCTCCACTGCCTTCATAAACTCACTGAACAGGTGTACAGTTTCCCTTTTTTATATTTTAGTATTTCCTTATGAGAAAAGTAATCTGTGTTCTTTAGGAAAAAATAAACAGATGAGCAGAAAGAAGACAAAGAAAATAAATCACCCACAGTCTCACAACTCCAAAAACCACTGTTAACCTTTTAGTGAATAAAACTATTTTTCCTGTGCATAGATGTACTACATAAATTTCTTTTTTTACAAAAGTGGACTGATTCTGTAGATGATTCTGTAAGCTGCTTTATTTTTCCAAGAATCATAACGTCTTTGCAATGCACAAGGGTGAAAATCCCCTACTGATAGAGCACTGTAGTTGGATCAAAAGGCTGCTGGTAACAAGAGTGACACCTTTAGCCTAAGGTTAAAGCACAGGGCCTGGCCCATGCAGGCCAGAGTACTACACAAAAGGAATGTCTTCGAAGCCCCTTTGTGGGGCCCTGCAACCACCCCTGAGTTCCCTTGGGCCCCTCGGGTGGAAGGGGTCCTGTAAGCTTTTTTGCATCCACATAAAGCCCCCCAATTTCTGTCTGGTTTTCTTCACCTCATCCTCCACCCTAGCCATCTCATCAAATTCTCTTATCATCTCCTCATTGCTCAAATGCATATCGTGTATGGCCTCCTTATATTCCTTGAGGCACTGAGCCAGCCCCTTGTTGGTTTTTCTCTTGGCTTTCCTGGGTACATCATCCCCAGCTGGGCGCTTTCCTGCAGCCCTTGGTTCGCTGGATGGCTTTTCTTCTTCTTTTGGCTTTCCCTCACTCACTAGTTTTCCTCCTTCTTTTGGCTTTCTCTGGCTCTCTGTCTTTCCTCCGCTCTCTGCTTTTCCTCCTTCTTTTGGCTTTGCCTCACTCTCTGGCTTCTCCTTATCCTTTAGTACTTCCTCGTCTTCTGTCTTTCCCTTGTGATCTGTCTGTCCCTCCTTTTCTAACTTCTCCTTGTCTTCCAGACTACAAGCTACTTCGGGCTTTCTCATATCCAGTGGCTGTTCTTTGTTTCCCATCTTTCCTTGGTTCTCAAGCATTTCTTCATTTTCAGTGCAGAGGTTTTCCATGTTGAGATTTCCCCTCCTTACCCTGCCCTGCGGGTGAGGGGGAGAGGAGACAAAGGAGACTGAGGGTGGAATGTGGGTCTGGATAGTACTTGCATCTCGTCCCCTGTCAGGGTTCCCCTGACCAGCCTCGGCCTCCAAGTGTGCCTCCTGCCCACCCCTTTACCCCCATCACTCCTCCCACACACCAGAGCCAACCCTTTCCCTGGCAGGCCCTACCACCTTCTGCACCATCCTTCAGTGTGGCGGCGTGCGTGTCTATTATATGTGTGGTGGTGGGATGCGAGTGGGGCCCTCAAATTCTGCCCAGGCCATGCCCTCCACCCGCCTCCCCCGGGTCCCCGTCTGGGGCCCCTCCCCGCTTTCACTGACCTGCAGGGATTCTGGACAGCTTCCTCCTTTTCTAGCCTAGCAGAGTGCTGGGAACAGACAGGAAGACCTGCAGACAGAGAGCAGACAGGGGCAGGGGCTGCACGCTCAGGGCACTGAGGTTTCTTTTCTGAGTCCGAGCCCTCATCATCCAACGTTTCCCTCTCCTATTTCCCCTGCATCCCAGCCGCCATTACCTTTCAGGCCTCGGGCGCCAGACCAGGATGCTTTCCAAACTGCTTGGGTCTCTGTGTCCCCCTCCCCTGCAGGCAACCCGCCCCCACCCCCCGCGCTTTTCGCGGAGGTCGCTATTTCCTCATAGGCGAAGAGTGTGAGAGGGGTTATTGGCAGAACGTGTCTACGTTTCACTGTCGCACTGCGGGGGCGCCCCCTCCCTCCCCATCGCAGGCTCGAAAATAGATGGAGGGCGCAGAGGAGGGGCGTTGAGGAGAAGGCGGCGGGGCCCGCTGCGGGGTCGACCCTCCCTCCCCACTGCCCGCGCCCCGTCCCCTCCTCACCCATCTCCTGGACCCTTCGTCGGCCCCTCCCCGCTGCTCCCGGATCCTACTCCCACCCACCTCCAGCCCTGCCCCTGGCTGCCGGCAGCGCCCACCTCCACACTGACCTGCGGGCCCGGGACCGCCTCGGGCTCGCCGAAGCCGCTCGCCCCTCGCCCGCCGCCCGGGCAGCTCCGGGAGCCGGTTTGGCGCCGGCGACGGGACCGCAGGGCGGCGGGCGGGTGCGCGGGCTGCTGCCCACGTCGGCGCCCGGCCGGTCACGTGAGCGCCGCGTCACCCGGCTCGGCCCCCGCCCCGCCCCCCCCACCCCATCCCCGAGGGACCGGCAGCTGTGGACCGTGGCGGGGGGGTGGGGGGTGCGGGTGGCCAAGAGGGAGTCACCGAGAGAGCAGGAGGGAGGCGACTTCCTTATCGCAGGTACTTTACCTGCTCATCTCAGGTCCTTGCGCAGCATCCCTCTGAGATGCTCATGATCCCTGGGTGTGACAGCTGATCACAGGAAGGGTACCTGACTTGACCAAGAGCGCTCAGCAACTGAGCCCCACAGCCCGCTTTCAAGACCGGCTTGGCCTAACTCCAGGGCCCAGGTGGTGGTGCCCACTAGGAAGCTGCGCTGCCACCTTGAGTGGCGGTGTTCCTGAGCTTCCTCTCTCCTGGGTGATCTCTGTTCATTTCCCTCCAAGCACAGATGATTCCCAGATTTCTTCTCCAGGCTGTTGCCTCCCCGGACCTCAGACCCTCTTTGTCAACTGTCTATTGGACACCGCTGCCTGAATGTCCCTCAGGGGCCTCGAAATCTTTATACCCCAAACTACTTTCACCAACTTCGTTCTCGCCTTCTCCGTTTACTTCTCTTCACTTTGGAAACTTACACTCCATCAGTTCTGACCTGTTCTCGTCTAGAGAGAATGCCAGGCAGCTAAAAAAAAGAAAGCATTAAAATATTTTTAAAAATGGGCCACAGATGCACAGACCCATCAAAACCCTTGGTTCACAACACTCCTAAGTAACCCATGCTGGTCCCTCTTCTTTCTCTTCCCTTCCCTTTCTTTTTCTCTTTCACATTTCTGAAGCCACCACTCAACCCAAGAACTGGAAAATTGCCAGTATTTTAGCTTCTACAGTGTAGTGACGGGCACATGCTCACACACACACACACACTGTATGTGTGTACGAGTGTATGTGTAAATATGGGAAGCACTATTTCTATTTTATTTGCAAAATACCACATCTTATTTACACAATTATGTTATGTGCAACACACCCAATTCTAATTATATTTCTGCTACTGTTTCTTAATTTAGTAAAACATTGATCTTTCTAAAATGGTTTGTGCTACCAAGATGTGTATTTACATTATCACCACATAACTAGTCATTTTATCCTGTGTTGAATTTTTTAACCAAATTAACAATGCCATTGGTAACAAGGCTAGATGTTACCCTTTCATCAGTATGAACCTCCAAAAAAATGTTACTATTATTATTCCGTGAATTTTAATGAAAGTAATATCAAATCACTGTTGGCATTAACTGATTTTCTCTTTTAATCATCTGACGATGCTGATTGTAAATTATCATCAATAATTATTTTGCTAAGTTCTTTTGCTAATGAAGTCAACATTTTAACAGCTGTTACTCCTATTTTTGAACATGCACGCAGAAACTTGGAATTCAAAATTTGTATAATTAAATGAGAAGAAAAATAGTTTGATCTAAATTAGAATTTCTGCTCATAGAATGAGAAGTCGACACAACTTCTGCATCTGTATGTACTAAATTGACACATTCTTCTTAAAATAACTACTACCTTCTGAAGTAGATGCAAATGTTTCTTCAGCAGGTTTGCAGATTTAAGTTTTCCTGAGGTAAATAATATCACTACAGTCCTCTTGGTGCATGGTAAATGTCAGCAAACATTTTGTGCAAGTTAAACGTTTTCATCAACTTTCCCAAGAATACAAAATATGTTACTTAATTTTCCATTCAATATGCACTTTTGTTTCTTATTGAAAAGTTAAAGAATCATTCCCAACAATAAAATACATATAGATGTAGATTTATAGTGTATAATAAATGATAAAACCACTGTACCAAGAATGTTCATGCTCCACAGCAGGACAGCTCAGCCTTCACTTCCCACACGTATTTCACATACATTTAACTTATGATTTCCCATGTTTTCCTCTGATCTTATGGTTGGTAGGCTGGCACTTTCATGCATTTTGGAGGTCCTTGGCAGGGGTCATGGCCCAACTAGCTAATCACATATAACCAGCAGGGGTAGCAGCATCAAACGTTTTTCTCATTACCACTCAAGACAAAAAGGAGCCAGCTCTAACTGCCCCTGCATGAATTTACTTCATTTTAACAGTGGGTACTCTGCAAGTTGTCCTCGACAGAGATATGTTAATTATGTTGAATTAGGGAAGAGACTTTTCAAATGTGATTAAGAGTTTTTAGATTGGGAGAATATTCTGGATTATCCAGACAGGTCATAAATACAGTTACAAGTGTCCTTATAAGAGGGACACAGAGGGAGATTTTACTACAGAAGAAGGCAATGTGACAACTGAAGCAAGATGCTAAGCTGCTGTCTTCAAACACAGAGGAAAGGGCCATGAGCCAAAGAATGCAAGGAATAGAGCTCTAGAAGCTGGAAAAGGCAAGAAAATGGATTTTCCCCTAGAGGTTCCAGAGGGAGCACAGCCCTGCCCATAACCTTGATTTCAGCCTAGTAAAACTGATTTCAGACTTTTGACTTACACTCTTGTAAGAGAATGAATGTGTATTGTTTTAAGCCTTCAAGTTTGTGGTTATTTGTTACAGCAGCTCTAGAAAACTAATACACGTAAACAAGCTTCACTAAACCCATTCTGGCTTACTTTAATGTAAATATCAGTAATAATAATAATACATTGTTTAAAAATGAAAAATTTGGGGGGTAGGCCTGGTGGTGTAGCGGTTAAGTTCAGCACTCTGCTTCACTGGCCCAGGGTTCGCCAGTTCGGATCCTGGGGGTGGACCTACACACTGCTCATCAAGCCGTGCTGTGGTGACATTCCACATAGAGGACCTAGAAGGACTTAAAACTAGGATATTCAACTATATACTGGGACTTTGGGGAGAAAAGAAAAAAGGAGGAGGGTTGACAACAGATGTTAGCTCAGGTTCAATCTTCCTCACCAAAAAGCATACCTAAAAAAACAGAAACCAAAAAAAAAAAAAAAGAGAAAAATTTTGGACAAACATTACACTGCATAGGATGCCAGGTCAACAGGCAACCCTTCTGTTCAGGGCAAACCAGAGAAAATATTTTTATCTTAGAGGTGATTCGTGTAAAGCCACCTTCCCAATACCTAGCACACAGTAAGCCTTCAGTTGGGTGAGTTTTCTTAGTTCCCTAGAGGAGAAAAACTATGCCTTTTAAAAAACTTTTTTAAAACAATTGTAGATTTACATGTGGTTGTAAGAAACGACAGAGAGATCTTATGCCCTTTACCCATTTTCCCTCAACGGTAACTTGTATAACTACAGTAAAATATGACAAACAGAAAATTGACATTGATATAATCCACCGACCTTACTCAGATCTCACCATTTTACATGCACTCCTTTGTGTGTAAATGTGTGTATTTAGTTTTATGACGTTTTATCATATGTGTTTTCCTAGATTGGATCTCATTAACCCCTAGATCTATCTGAGAGGTACTTTCCAAAAACAGCTAGAACAGGGGAAATGACTTACCCAAGACCCTATGGTATACTTGGCCCCCAATGTTTTATTGCAATGTTCTTCTGCAAAGCCTCTTCTTTATGGGTCACATTGCACATATTATTCTTAAGAAAATAACATAGAATAAAAAAGTGAGATAGGGAAGTATATGAAATAAAATAAAATGGGATGATGGTTTTGGTGGTTTTCTTTTTTAAACCCTAGGGAACTGGTCCAGTGATTGTTTTCCTTTTTTCTAAATTATTGGAGAAATCACTCCAGTACATAGAAATGACACTAAAGTTAATACACAATGGAAACTTATACATTTCCCTTCCATTTACCATTTCCACATGATTATTATGTAATCATGCTATTTGGATTAAAGGAGGGAAACTAACATTTATTGAATACCAAGTATACCATATGCTGTGTTTGACACTTGAAATATTTTGCTTTTTTGATTCTCACGATAATTGTCTGATATAGATATAATTATTCCCATTTTACAAATGAGGAAAAGAAAACTCAGGAACATTATGTAACTTTTAAAAATCTTGCCGTTGATACAGAGATCACAAAAAGACTAATCCTAACCCATAGCTCTCATTATATAACACATTGCATCCTTTTTACTTTGTGATCATGCAGGGCTTAGGGATAAGTGTTTTTGAACTGTGTATGTTCTCCTTGACGATTCACAAATGTTTGGCTGGGTACTAATACTTTTCTTTCTCCAAGGGGACATTTCAAGTAAATATAATCATCCAGATCTCAGAAAAAAGATCTGGAATATGGATTTTGGCTGGGGTGTCTGGCAAATAATAAACACCCAGTAAATATCTGTTGAAACAATGAGTGTCTGTATCAGTGAAGATATTAACCTTATGCCTTAAGAGCCCTATAACAAAATAGCAAAATAGACAAAATTTGTAAACAGTGTGCAAAGAAATGCAGATGGTCCATAATTACAAGAAAAAGTTCTAACTCACTAATAATTTAAATAATGCAAATAAAAGCATCTAAATGACCTTTTGCCACCTATCATATGACAAAACTTAAGTATAGAAAGAATCCAATAAAATGGAAGAAAAAATCACAGAAGAAAAGTTTAAAAACTGGCTTTGTGTGTATGTCTGGAGAAAGAGAGAGAGAGAGAGACTTAATTTTGACACAAATCAAGGAAATGGAAATACACTTAACAGTTAGACATGAATTTAAATATTCTGATGACACCAGTTATAGAGGTCAGGTGAAGAAATCAGAATTCTCAAACACTTTTTGAGAAAGTTTTAATTACTGAAATCAAGTCCCAGGGAACTTGGCATCCTGTAATGTAGGGAAACTATATCACATGTATAAAAGTAGGCTGGTAAGAGGAGATTCACTGCAGCATTGCCTGAAATAGAAAACAAAAAGTGATAAAATAAGAAGCAGTTCCAGCAATCTGTTCTTCTTATCTATGTGTTTGTTTGTTTGTTTATCTTCCACATATGAGTGAAATTATATGGTATTTGTCTTTGTCTGGTTTATTTTGCTTAGCATAATACCCTCAAGGTCCATCCATGTTGTCACAAATAGCAAGATTTCACCTTTTTATGGCTGTGTAGTATTCCATTGTGTGTGTGTGTGTGTGTGTGTGTGTGTGTGTGTATACACACCACATCTTCCTTATCCATTCATCCCTGATGGGCATTTTGCTTGTTTCTATGTCTTGGCTATTATTGGCAGAAGGGAAAGGAGTGGAGGAAGGGTGAAAGGGGTAAAGAGGCACAGATGGAAACTAGATTATTGGTGGTTAACATGATGCAGTCTATGTAGAAACTGAAATGCAATAAATGTACACCTGAAATTTATACAATGTTATAAGCCCATATGACCTCAATATAATAACTTTTTAAAAAGGGCACATGTGTACAGTGACAAATGGTAATTAGACTTTGAGTGGTGAACATGATGTAGTCTACACAGAAATCGAAATATACTGATGTACACCTGAAATTTATATAATGTTATAAACCAATATATATATTCTCTGACCTCCTAATGCTAGAGGGCCCAGGGTTTAATTTAATTCTTGGACCTCATCCTTTTCTATCTTCCCTCACTGGATAAATGATTTCAACTAGTTTATAAAATCTATACAGTTATGACTCCCCAAGTCCAGGTCTCACTCCTGAAATCCAGAGTAACATTATTTAACTTGCTCTGCAATTCACCTATTTCTCTTCAAAATGTTTTTTAGAGAACTTTCCATTAACTAACAAGCTTCATAATTTATTTAAATATTCCACTTCTTTAGGAAAATTTAGATTGTTTCCAACTTTCTCTTCCTCGACAGCACACAGCTATACCACATTACTTAGCATCCTTTACTGAAAGCCATGTGTATTAAGCAATTTTGGTGTCTCCTATTACATCTCTGGGCACACATTCACAGCTGTCATGGACAGTTCCCTGTGAGCTCACACCAATGGCAGCAGTGTCCTACCTCAAGCAGGCTGCCTTCACTCACATTCCTGCTTCAGATTCTTCTCATTAGCCTCAAACAGTCCTCCTAATCCCCATACAAGCCCATCCATGAATTGCAGGGGAATTAATGCCCTCAAGAGAAACCCTTAACCAACAGAACTCAGAGTGATGAATAAACTTTCCAGCCTCCCAACTTTTGGGCAGATAATTCTGGGAGACGTTTTGTATGCTTCTCAGAGATCCCAGATAAACCTAGTCCCCATTGTCTACCTACAGCAACAACGTCAATAATGCACCATTATACTGGCTTTAGCTCTTTCTTAACTCCATTCTAACTCTTACCTCACTCCTGGGATCTGCTCCCAAATAAACTACCAGCACCTAAGTTCTGCTTTTGGGTGAACCTAAACTAAAACATTGAGGAGTGGAGTTCTATCCAATGGAATGTGGACAGAAGTGATATTTGCTGCTTCTACACCTGACCTCTAAATCATCCCAAGCTATACTCCATTTCCTCACTTTCTGCCAGCAGAGAATTGATCATAGGACTCTGAAGCTCAAGGGAGTGGCAGGGATAAAAGATGGAAGGCCTGGGGTCCCTGTATCCCCACTTGCAAGAAAGGAACCTATGAGAGTCACCTGACAAGTAACACCAGTGTTAGACTGTTTTACGAGAGAAGAATAAACTTATATTAAGCTAAAGAAAAATAGCATTGTATGCTATGTCATTAGCCTATCCTGACAAGTACAATTGGGTACTATCTTTTTCTCATTGATGACAGTTTTAGAAGTTAAAAATCATTTCTCATTGTTTTCTCATAATGAGAATACAGGCATCCAGATGAAGGGAGCAGATATCTCTCTGATTTGTCTTGAGTTCAAAATTTGGGGACAGAGTTTCTCTACTTTCTTAGGTGTTTCAGAAGCTCATAAGAGCTGCTTAACATCATGCCTCTGAGCAGATCCTGATCTGGTTCTCCACACTGGGAAGACAGACAGCTTGTCTTTGACTCACCTGATGAGCTTAGTGAGAGATGGTACTAGGGCAGCAAGGTGTGGTGTTTGCATAACTACTGCTCCTGGACTGCTCAGTATGTTCATATATTTATAGGAAAATTCTGGACCTATCCTACAGTCAGCAATGAAAGAGTCCTCAGATGATGCGTTATCCAGCCATATCCACCAGGATTTCAGCTGTCTCCTGCCTCTCTGAGAGATAAAAAGCCAAGAACTACTAGCATTTCTTGACACACAAGTATTCATTCTTCTATTCACTAATAATTAAATATGTATTGAGCTTAAAATCCAAAGTATTCCATTAGAAGCATCTCATTAACTCTATAGTGGAAATAAGAGAGTAAGAAGGGGAATGAATATATGGCAAAATCCAAAGATTAAATCTGAGCAGAGATGGCTCTTTCACATTAACTTTTAAAGTCATTCAAATTTAAGGCTTTGGAGTTTTTTAAAAACCCTCTTTGGACTCCTCATCCACATTCAGCTACAAGATCTCTCTCTCTCTCCCTCTCCCTCTCTCTCCATATCTCTCCCTCTCTATTTGTCTCTCTCTCTTCCTCTTCAAAGGCAAACTTCCAGAAAGAATTTTCTGCATTTCCTGTTAACACTGTTCACTTCCAACTGACTCATCCCACTGCACTATGACTTCTGTCCTCATGTTTGCAATGAACGTGCTCTCACCATGGTCACAAGCCACCTTTTTGCCACTAGCCCAGCTGTTCTGTACGAATATTTTAACATACTGAGTGTTATTTTTAATGATCTCCTAAAATACTCACACTTGTGCAGACAGCTTCTGTTACTTAACAACAAATCTTTGACAAGTTTCCAGGCTTTGGACCATGAGGTGCTGGGGACAAACCCAAGCTGTCCTGCTCCCTGACTGAGCAGTCCTGGGCTAAGTCCTTATTCTCCCTGTCCCTCAGGTTTTCATCTATAAAATGGGGATTAACACCATATCTACCTTATACTGGTGCTGTGAGCATTAAATGACTCAATACATAAAAAGCATTTGGCATATAATACATTTTAGTCATTTTTATTTATTTTTCTATATCTTTATCAGGCATTAGTATACTTACTAACCCGATGGTATAGACTGATGTTTATCCACAGTCAATGACGTTGAGGTATGTTATTAGTAAGACAAGCAAGTCACAAAGCCAAATGTAAGATGTGATCTTATATTTGTACATAAATCTATAAATGCATGCATACGTGCATAAATATGTAAATACTTGCATAAGAAAACTACTCAAAGAATATAATGCGGATGAAAACATTAGTGGTTATTCTGGGTTGAATTGTGTCCCCCCAAAATTGTATGTTGAAGTCCTAATCCCAACTATCTCAAAATGTGACCTGATTGGGAGATAAATTCTTTACAGAGGCAATCAAATTAAAATGAGGTCATTGGGGTGGGCCCTAATCCAATATGACTGATGTCTTTATAAAAAGGGGAAATTTGGACACAAAGACACACACAGACAGAAGATGATATGAAGAGACAGAAGGAGAATGCCGTGTGAAGATGGAGGATTGGAGTGATGCATCTACAAGTCAAGAAACACTGAAGATTGCCTTCAAAGCACAAGAAGCTAGGAAGAGGCAAGGAAGAAGTCTCTTATAGGTTTCAAAGGGAGCATGACCTGTCAATACCTTGATTTTGGACTTCTAGCCTCCAAAACTACAAGACAATAGATTTCTGGGGGGTTTTATGTTTGTTTTTATTTTGGTGAGGAAGATTGGCCCTGAGATAACATCTGTTGCCAATCTTCATCCTTTTGCTTGAGGAAAATTGTCACTGAGCTAACATCTGTGCCAGTCTTCCTCTATTTTGTATGTGGGATGCCACCACAGCATGGCTTGATGAGAGGCATGTATGTCCGTACCCGGGATCTGAACCAGCGAAGCCTGGTCCTCTGAAGTGGAGCATGCAAACTTAACCACTATGCCACCAGGCTTGCCCCATGTTTTTTAAGCCACCTACTTCGTGGTACTATGTTATGACAACCCTAGGAAACAAATACAGAAGGACTTACCTTTAAGTGGTATGTTTTGGTGTTATTTTATTGTATTTCCTTTCTATGTTATATATTTTTACCTATAATACACACTTATTGGTCTTGCAACAATACAAAACAATAAAATGGTATGGAAATATAAATATTCTAAGTTCTACTAACAGGAAATTAACTCAGCTTTCAAATGGGGAATACTCCTGAGGCATAGGAAGGGAGACAAGATAAGGGAGAACTTTCAAAGCATAACAGGACACATTTCCCCAAAATTCCTAACCACACTGAGGTTATTATCAATATTTGAAGTTTCTGCCTAGTTAACTGAGAAAAAAACATGGTACCTCAGCTTGTTTTATTTTGCTTTGCCTTGAATAACAGTAAGGTTGAAGATCTTGTCATATGAGAGGCAGTAGTATATCCTGGTTAGATGTATGGGCTCAGGAGCAACACAGCATATCTTACACTTGCCACTTGCTAGACGTGCCGTCAGTTCATTATGTTTAAAGTTGAGCAACCAGAGCTCCTCCCCATAGGTTGTGGTGAGGATGAAATGAGTAAGTACAGAGTTGGCACTTATAACAGTATCAGACACTAAGGAAGTTAGCAATAAAAATTAACCATTACTATCATTATTTTCATGCCAGAATTGACCATTAGTGTTTCTATTGTGATTTTAGTCATGTAGGTTTATATTGATTGGCATAGATTGACATTCATAATATGATGTTTATATAAATAAATCAGTTTGCAAAACTGTAAGTAGGATATCATCTCATTGCTACTCTTAAATATATGTGGTTATAATTGCATAGAATTCCTGACAACAATATGTACACTCAAATGATAACAGTGCTTATCCATGAATAGTAGACTTTTAAGATTTCTAATGATTTTTTTCCTTTCCTGAATTTTCTATTTTTATCTACAATGAGAGTGTCTTGGTTTTGAAAGTGAAAAAACGAACAAATGTCTACCTAACTATTTCCATAGAAAAGTGGATCAGTGTCAGAATGTGGAACATCCCCAAGGCAAAGGAATTAGGTAATAAGGTGGTCCTAGAATTAACTTATGACTTTACCACATGACAGTCCCCTTTTGGCAGCTTCAGGGAAATTACAGGTGCCTAGAGGAAGAGTAAGCACAGTATGTCTCTCAAATAAACCTTATATTCCATAGTCAGACAATGTCGCCACTTCCCTGGATTTTAGTGAAGGTCATGAGATGAAAGTATTTTCACAACATACTTCTTCCCGAGGTCTCCCAAATATAGTCCCTTGAACTGAAAGCAGGCTCATCAGTTTAACCACCCAGTTAGCCAAGCAGTGAACACCTCAGGGGAGGGGATGGGTAAGTGTCTGCGTGAGATGGCCCAGAGCTCAGCCCCATGACTTGAGAAGGGTGAATGCTTTAACAGCAGGATTCAGGGGAAAAGTTTAGTCATAGGCTTACTCAGCCCAGGGCCCCAGGGTACCAACTCATGTGAATTAAATCACCTTTGAAGTACCTTCCTTGTGGAATTAAAAATAATAAAAGGAAAGGACAATACACACATGCCAAGCACTTGTAAGACAAAATAAGCTCAAGTTCAAAATGAGATGCATCCGTAAACCAGCTAAAAGTTACGGGTGTTGGTCTGGACACATGGTAACTAACTGTCTGCAATCACTGTCTTCTCTCAGCAGGGTGGCCCAGATCAGATTCTAGATGTTCAGGCCTAGATGAGTAACAGTGTGAATAAATGACAGAAAATTAGGCTTGGACAAATGGGAAGATGTTTAATGTTCAGGATACACTGAGACATTGTTTTGGGCTAGCTGGTAGCAGGGAAACTCAGTTTGAACACATCAGGGAAAAAAGTGATTGAAAATAATATATGTGGATTCTGTTAATGCTCTTTACAGCATATAAACTTAAAAACATGGATGTGTCTGATGCTGGCCCAGAGTATATGGGGTTAAAACCAAAGCACTCTTTCCCTGCTTACCCCCTGGCTCCCTGGCTCCAGAATCCATTATTCCTCATGGAGACAGACACAGCCAAGGATAACTACCTGGATTCCATATCATCTCCCCCTCCTCCCTGCAAACAGTGTCGCAAGGCCTAATGCAGGCTGGTGGGATGGCTCTGACCAGCAAGGCCACTGACTCCCTCCACGACCCCATCTACAAGCAGCCACATTCCTTACAAACCTTTAAAACCCCTCGCCTCCCCTCTTTCGGGGAGATGAGATGAAATGAAGCAAATTTCAAAGAAAATTTGAAACTCACTCTCATCTCCTGGCTAATGTCATCCAAAATAAAAACCTTTTCCTTTCTATAAGCCTGGCATTTCAGTTTTTATTTGGCACCTCTGTGTGGCGGGTAAAGAAACTATGTTTGTAGGCGGTAACGATCTGGCAAGCCAGCCAGGAGGCCCTTGCCCTTGGCTCCACAGCCCCAGGCCAACTGGGATTTTCTGGGAAGCAGTCCAGCAGCTGCCTAGGTGATTTGCCCTAGGGACTGTCCCCAGTACTTTCCATCTGACGCAGCACAGTTGACCCTAGGCACATTTTCTGATGGCAAGGAAACAGGTTCTAGTTGGTTGGTTTGTTTGCTCTTCATTCTGATGAGTCAATAGACTCTGAAATAGAGTAACTCACCTTGGGGACGCCCATGAAGTTCCTTCTCCTCCTCTGAGGTCCCTTCCATTCATGAAAGGGCCATCTTGGGTCCTTTCTGTTCACAGAGGGGCCATCTGGGGTCACATCCGGAGTGGAAATAGTTGTAGGACTTTCTACCCTCCATCTGGGAACTGGCTCACTGGCATCTGGCTTTTCTGTGTCTGGATCTGTGTGTCTCTCTGTCTCTGTGTATCAGAATGGGAAACATGCAGTCTGTCTCCAAGCAGAGACCATTGGGGCTGATTCTAAGTAGATGGTCTAATTATAGTCATAAGCCAATGTCTAAAAGGGATCATTTCCTTTTGTAACATGCATGACCACCATATTCTTTAAATTCTGGAGAGAAAATGGCCAAACAATCGATGCTTAAGTTGGAAAATTTTAGAGAGCTCTCGTCATAAACAGCTGTTTTATTGGTACCTATGAAAAGCCCAAATTAAAAGGAAAATATAATGATTAGTCTTAAAAACTTAATCAAACTTGGGGTCTCAGCTTCTTCTTGTGGTTTTACAGATGCTAATAAAAACATTAAGTTAACAAAGAAAAATCAAAAGGGGAAGAGTCACAAGACTCATCCCAACAGGATGAAAACCCTTAACTAGTTATTAAAAAGTAGAGTGGGATAAATGGAACAGACGTAAATAAAGTTAAAATGAAGGTTTTAATAAAACACTGCCTAAGGTTAAGTGGGCTAAAGGAATCCCTTTATTGACCCACCAATATTAAAGGACATGAGATAAACGTCTTCTATTCACTCCAGTTTAAAAAATTTTACAAAGTCAGGAAGCAAAAATCACAGTGGAAAACCTGACCAGCAATTGTTTGGGGCAACAGCTAGGTTGCTCAAGTTTGTAAGACTATAAAGATTAAAGCATTTAAACTAATATTATATGAAGAGGTTATGTCAATTTTGCCTAAATGTTTTTTTGGGAATAGATGTTATGTCTATCTGGAATTGCTTCCCCTACACAATATTGCAAAACTAAAACTTGTTAATAGAATTCTAAAGTAAGTTATAATTGAAAGTATGAGTTGATAAAATTAAGATAAAGTTTTTAAAAATTGGTATATTTAAATGGGCTTTATATAAAATAATTCCATCTCTTTTGCCTGATTCTATCATACATTATGTTGTGGGGATAAACATTATGTCTCACTGGGGAATGTTTTCCCTGCCTAATATAGTAAGAACATATAAATCCACCCTTCAGGCTATGTTAAACATACTAAAGGAGATCTCACTTTAAAATAGCCCAAATGGGACAATTTCACTTTACTCAAGCTGATGTACGCAATTGGAAAAAGCCAGCTACAACAATGGGAAGCCTGTTTTAATCTTTTGAAGCTTCTAAATAAAATCATAAATACTTTACTGCCTCTTTAAGGAAAAACAAATAATTAAGCATGCCAGCAGCTGGCAGGCTGAAGCCAAATCTGCTGCTTCTCTCTCCTCTCTCACTGAAATTTGCCAATTGAACTCCCCCAAAATTCCTGATCTAAAATTAAACAAGTAAAAATAAGTAAACCTTTGAGATAATTTGGAATTGTAATGACCATTCTGGGCAACCTCTGTTTCAGATGAATCTACATTAAGGGTCACCCTTAAAAGAGAGAATTCAAAATCTCTCATAATGGAATACAGTCTTTGATTAATATACAGAAATTTATAAAAGACAAAGTTATTTAACATGATATAAAATGATCTTTGGTAAATAAAAGTCTGTTTAAGTTTGCTGGTTTGATTTAAAATAGGCATGTCCACAAAGTTATCAGCATTAGATATGATGCAGACATACAGCCTGGGTTTACCAGTCAAATGAGCTCATGTCATCTCTGTTAGAAAATTTATCAGCAAAACTAATAACTCAGTATAATAGCTGATTTTGTTTAAGGTCTCATGAGGTTTTTATAGACCATTTAAATATAATTGTTGAGAACAGGTAAACTAAATAAATGTAAAGGATGAAGGTTTTTGGAGAAACTTTAACAATAATTATGTGTTATGATGTATGTACTTAAAACGACTTAAGATGATGGTTAACTACTTTAATGTTACATGATTTTTTTGAGTAATTAGTACATAATTGTTAAAACTGGGTAAAAGTTTTTAAGTACAATAATTATGTTTTATGGTCTATGTACTTAAAAAACAGCTTTCAAAATCTTTTTGGAAACAAACTTTATAGTTTAGTAAGTTAAGTTAAATAACAAAATCTGTTGAGTATCTGGGTCATTTTCAGAGAGGCTGGAACACTGAAACATTATTGCTGAAGATGTCTATCTACTTTGGCTTCTTATTACAGAAAAACTAAAAAGTATTTGGGTCTATTAATAAACAAACCTTGTGTTTAATTACTACAAAGTAACACGTTTCTAAAAATTATAGAAGGTATTTGTAAATTTGTCAAGCTACAGAATGCTAATGTGAACAAGGGTTTATAATTACTTACTTGGTTTTTATTTAGAAATTAAGGTTTCCAAGGGTTAAAAATTCTAATTAATATATGTAATTAAAGCTACTAAAAATTAATAAAGAAAAAATCTTTGTATTCAAGGAAAGTAAAATGTATGTTTTCAGTAATAAGGTATAAATAATGGAAATATTTTTGTTTGTTGGGTTATAAACAAAAAGATAAATTTGTCTAAAGTACTGAGACTAATTCTAAATGTAAAAAAGTAAGTGACAAAAGGTTTATGAAAGTAAAACCCAGAAGACTTTTATGCCTGGTCAAGTTGGCTACGATGAAAGTAAATCCAATCAAATAAATACATTTTAATGCCCAAAGTAAACTGGTAAAAAATTAAAACTGAGTCTTTCTTAAAAAAGATAATTTTCCTGAACTTTCAGTCTACTCGATTAAAAAAATTATAAGAGGTTTTTTCTTTAAGTATTCTACCAAAAGGATAAGGATTTTATGTTTTATCAAAATAAATTTCCTATATTGTCTTTGTCAGGTCCTTAATCACAGACACTAAGGTTTTTCTTACAATTATTTGATTCTCTGCATTCGCCTAAAATTCTTTAACTGTCACCATGGTTAAAGGGATAATTAAACATTGCTTCATGGAGACCTATAATATTACATGGGTAAATGTTATTGATATAAATGTTTAAAAATTGTATAAGGTTACTAAAATTCTGCTGTGTCCTGATCGTCAGCCATAATTCTGGTTGTTGTCTCGGAATGTTATGTGTCACCAAAAATAGCCAAGTTTCCTTTTCAATTGCCATTTTTAAGTCTTTTATTATTTACAGACAGTTGTTTTACTCTGAGGTTTTTAGAAATATGTTTTATCTTCAGAGGAGTTCATGAAAAGGACTCTGGCACTTACTCTAGAATACAGGTTTCTGATAAATGTTCAGACTGTAAAACTAAACTGGGTAAGAAATTACAGAACTCTAACAGAAAAACTGATGACCTCATAGGACTGCTGACAAGATCAAGAACTAATCACACAGAAGTGAATGAACTAACAGGGATGATTATAATTTTTATGACTTCTTGTTTGAAATATTGCTTATTTTTTAATATTTTGTGTTTTGTTATCTCATATTTAAGGAAATATTTTTCTTTTTCCTCTCATGCTAACTATGACTTATAGCAATTTGATAAAATTATACATTTATAAACAAAATGGAAACATTTATCTTTTTCTCCCATCTGATCCCTCCAGAATTTGGAAACTCTTGATGAATAAGTAATCTTATTTTCATGGCTGTATAATTGTTTGCATAAGTTCAATAAAAACCTGTTCTTCTTATAACAGGACACAATTGGAAACACTGGTTATATTACCAAGGCTTTGACTGGAACATCATATTGGAGAAAAACATACAGACTTGGATATGACAAGACAGCTTTTGAGGAAAGAAGGTTGATTTCTGGAATAAAACCACTTGGAAATATTGACCTGGCACCTTGCTTATGGGTTCCCAGTAACCTGCTAAGATTTAGTAAAGAATGTCACTCCTTCTGGCAGGAGCAAGGAACTCAATATTTTGGGTACCTCGTGAAGAGAGGAACTCACCCAAATCTGTAGGTATTGCAAGTGGGGTCTGATGACAAGTCCTTGGCTTGTCTTTTCTGGTCTTAAGAGGCCTTTAAAGTTAAATCTGAGATTCCTTATAAAAAGTTCCAGCAAAGCAGATTTAAAAGAACCTATGTGATCAATCACTATTCTTACAGTACTTATGTAAATAATTGGGCCAAATATATTAAAACTAAACTTATTTTACAACCAGTGGGTCTTAATTTGGCTATGTTTGGTAAAATTGAGGGTGATTTTAAAGAGAAAAATTATGTTTCAATAGAGACTATAATACACATTAATGGGTATAGGATTTTGGTTCTGTTGTCTTTGAGGTTTTTGTTTTACATCTGTAAATGCAACTAGATCCTAAATTCTTCTAGTCTCCTGAAATATCTGAAGTAACAAACCTCCAAACTAATGTTTTCCATTTTTTCTGTCATTTTGACTTAAAATCATTAAAAAGTGAATCTGCTCTTTTTCCTGAAGCTTTACAAACTGGAGCTGGACAACTTAATGTAAACTTAAGAGAGATTCATGTCTGTTGCTGTGTAGCCCACTCAGAAAAATACCTGAGTGCCTGGTGACACCATTAGAGACATTCAAACCACAAAAGATGCTTTGACCCTGACTTATAGGAATCTTGACTGGCTGCACCCTGGGCTCAGGAACTGATTTATAATTTGCTCCAACCATTAACCTTGTTTTTTTTTCTTCTCTAGAAATACTTCTTATTAAATACCTGGTTACTTACTTATGCAATACAGGCCTATTGCATATTTGGAAGCCCACCTGTATCACTGCCTTATGAAAAGACTGGTTCAACAAGATGAAACAACCTAGGCCCCAATTCAGCAGGAAGTAGCCAAATCAGTCATTGTCCCAAATCCCTCAAGATTGAAAAATGAACATAAAATAGGGGGAAATTGATGCTGGCCTTGATATCAGTTCCCCTACATTAAACCCAACATATATGGGGTTAAAACTAAAGCACTCTTTCCCTGCTTACTCCCCAGCTCCCTGGCTCCAGAATCCATTATCTGCCATGGAGACAGACACGCTGGCTGATGTCATCCAAAAGAAAAACTCTTTCCTTGCCATAAGCCTGGCCTTTCAGTTTTTATTTGGCCCCGCTTGTGTGGCAGGTAAAGAACCTATGTAAGTGGTAACATGTCTATTTTAGAAGCTCTGAAAAAGAATATACATTGAAAGGAAGGCATATATGCAGGTCACACTGTCAAGATGTTCTGTGCATTTATTCTTCCTTCTGTTTCTTCCTCCTTTTATATCATTTATCCAGGCATCTGTAGATAAATACATGCAACAAAAAATACCATATTTCACTTAGGCATATATAAATATGTAATAAAACTACAAAGAATGGTTTTAAGAATGAAAAACCAAAATTCTTTTAAATTATTACCTTTTTTTTTTTTGGTAAGGAAGATTGACCCTGAGCTAACATCTGTTGCCAATCTTCCTCTTTTTGCTTGAGGAAGATTGGCCCTGAGCTAACATCTGTGCTAATCTTCTATTTTGTATATGGGTCATCACTACACATGGCTTGATGAACAGTGTGTAGGTCCATGCCCAGGATCCAAATCCACAAACCCCAGGCTGCTGAGATAAAGCCTGTGAACTTAACCACTATGCCACCAGGCCAGCCCCTATAATGGTCACCTCTGAGCAAGGAGACTAATACAATCATAGAAGACTTTAAAGTGAGTTTAGACTATGTATGTAATGTTTTGCTTCTTAAATTGAGCATATAGAAGTCTGTTTTATTATTTTCTATAACTCTTTGAATATCTGAAATATTTAATAACAAGAAATGTTTCTATGAGTTTTGATTCTGATTTTTAAAATGATCCCTACTAATTTAGAAAATGTGGAAAACATAGTAAAGTCCAGAGATAAATATGTAATTAATTGGTAACACCACCACTCATTAATTTTTAAAAAATGTATTATATCTGGCATTGCCTCCTATTATTGTATCTATGTATGCATAAAACAACAAATATATGTATATCTTCTGTAAAATTAAGATTATACATAATTTTAAGCATCTTGCCTTTTTCAGTCATCATGACAGCCTAGGGTATTAATTTGCATTTCTTTAGCTATTGTAATGTGGTATATTTTAGAAAGTATTTATGAATATATATATAATCTTTTAATGTAAATTATCTTCTGATATCATTTGCCTATCTGATATTTATTGTGTATATGTACACAATATGTACATATACAAAAATATATATAATTTATGTGTGGATAATCCATATGACAGAACTGAGCCCAAAGTACCAAACACATTGGTCATATCAAATACATGTAAATAGGCTTAACTCATCTGTTAAAAGAAAAAAATTTTTCATATTTCCTATTGAAGCAAAATCCAACATGATGCTTTTTCAAGAGATATACCTAAGAAAAGATAGTCAGATAGTTTAAAATTTAAAAATAAGCAAACATATATCAGGTAGTTACAAATAGAAATAAAGCAGAGGCTACAATCTTGATATTTAAGGAGGAAGAATTGAGACCAAAATTGATTTAAAAATTTTTCTTAAAAGGCACACGATAATTGTAAAGGCTAAACTTCACAATGAAGATGTGCTGTTTATATTTATGTACACAGACACATAGTAAAAATACTCATAAAGTAAAAACTACAAGAGGTATAAGAAGTAATAGAAAGAAACACACTAACAGTAGATGATTCCACTATACTTCCCTCAATTCAAGAATATTCAAGTGGAAAAAAAATTTATAAGTATAGAGAAGCTTTAAAGAACATAATCCAAAGAGTAGATCTTATGTATTGAACTCTGATGCCTGATATTAGAGAACACAACTACATTTCAGATACACATGAAATACTTATGAAAATTGACTGTATCTGAGGCTCTCAGACAAATTTGGGACAAAATGGAAATAGATTAAAATTGCACAATTTGATCACAAAAATGATAATGAAAATATAACAAATCAAAATCTACAGCTAAAGCTGTTGTCAGAGGAAATTTTCATAGCATTAAATTGGCAATATGAGAATAAAAATTAAAATAAATGAATTTAATATTCAATTCAAAAGCCTTATAAAGAAGCACAGTATAACTAAAAGAATACAGAAGGAAAGAATCATTAAAGTTAAAAGTAGAAATGAAAGTGTTAGAAAAAACTACTGAAGAACTTATACAGGTTTACCTTGAAATCATCAACAAAATAAACATATCACAGTGTAAGCTAATGAAGAAAATAGAGCGAAATGAAAATACAAAAAATTTAAAATGACAGAGGAGAAATAGTGATCCAATCAAAGTAAATTTTTAAGACTCCTAAGTGAATAATTTGTAAAACTTTATTTGTATACATTTGAAAATACAGATAAAATATATAAATTTTTAGAAAAATGCAACTTACAAAAATTGACCCCAGGAAAGACAGAAAGTTCAAACAAACTAGTTACATAGAAGAAATAGATAAATTGGTTAAATTTGTCCCCTGAAAAAGTACCAGGCCCAGATGCCTCCACAGGAGAATTCTACTAAACCTTTAAAGGTAAGATAATGCCAATGCTTCTTAAATTATTCCAAGGATATAGAAAAGAAGAAACACTTCCAAATTCTTATGGTGAACCGAGTATATAATTGATTCCAAAACCTAATAAAGATTGCATCAAAAATGAAAATTATAGAACAATTTCATATATTAATATGAAGGAAGATTCTTAAGTAAAATATTAGCAAATACAAGCCAATAACACATAAAAATGTAGCTCATAACATTGTGGAGCTTATTCTAAGAACGCAAGGGTTTTTCAATATCAGGAAATCCATTAACACATCTAGTGTAATAATTGAGTCAAGGAGAAAAATGTCCACTTCCATAGATGCAGAAAAGGTATTTGAAAGAATCAACACCCATTCATGTTTAAAAAACAAGCTCACTTAAATAGGAATCAATGGTCTCTTTCTTAACATGACACTTCAGCCAAAAAGCCAGCCTCCTATTAATTGGAGAAACACTGGAGGCTTTCCTGATAAAGACAAGAAGAAAACGTGAAATTTATATCTTACATTTGACACTGTGTGGGAGGTATTATGCAATTCAATTAATGAGAGTAAGCAATTAGAAGCAAAAAGAAGAGGTAAAATAACAATGAATCAAGTGAATGAGAAGACAAGCCAGAGACTGGGAGAAAATACTACTATACTTCTAAATCAGATATCTGATAAAAGACCAATATCCAAAATATAAAAAGAACTTTTAGGACTCAAAAATAAGAAAATGAACAACCCAATTTTAAAATGGGCCAATGATATGAACAGATTCCTCACTAAAGAAGACATAGAGATGGCAAAGTAGCATATAAAAACATGCTCAACATCATATATCATTAGGGGATTGCAAATTAAAACAATGAGATACCATTACACACCTATCAGAATGGCAAAAATCCAAAACACTGACAACACCAAATGCTGGGAAGGATATGAAGCAACAGGAACTCTCATTCACTGCTGGTAGGAATGCAAAATGGCACAGCCACTTTGGAAGACTGTGTGGCAGTTTCTTACAGAACTATACAAACTATCACCATATGATCCAGCAGTTACAGTCTTTGGAGTTGAAAACTAACGTCCACACAAAAACCTGCACAAGGATGTTTACAGCAGCTTTATTCATAATTGCCAAAACTTGGAAGAAATCAATATGTTCTTCAGTAGGTGAATGGATAAATACACTGTGGTACATGCAGACAATGGAATATTATTCAGTGCTAAAAATAAAGGAGCTATCAAACCACAAAAACACATGGATAAAATGTAGATGCATATTACTTAGTGAAAGAAGCCAATCTGAAAAGGCTACATACTGTACGATTCCAACTATATGACATTCTGAAAAAGTGAAAATTATGGAGACCATAAAAACATCAGTAGTTGCCAGGAGTTTAGGGGAAGGAAGGGCTGAATAGACAGAGCATAGGGAATTTTTAGGGCAGTGAAACTATCCTGTATACTACCATAATGATGGATACATGTAACTATACATTTTTCCAAACTCAAAAAATGTAAACCACCAAGAGTGAACCCTAGTGTAAACTATGAACTTTGATTGATTATGAGGTGTCAATGTTGGCTCATTGACTGTAACAAATATACCAAACTCAGGTAGGATGTTGATGGTAGGGGAGGCTGTGTGTTTGGAGGGAAGGAAGTATGTAAGAACTCTACGTTCTGCTCAATTTTGCTCTGAATCTAAAATTTCTGTAAAAATAGTTATCAATTTTAAAAAAAGAAGTGGCAAACAATTAACTGGGTTTTCTGTGAGAAAAAAAGAAATGAAAATCAGGTGTTCTGTTTTTTGTAAAAAAGGCTAGTGACCTTTTTTATTTTTATTTTTTGCTGGGAAAGATTCACCCTGAGCTAACAGCTATTGCCAATATTCCTCTCTTTTTTTTTTTTCCTCCCCAAAGCACCGGTGAATAGTTGTAGATTCTAGCTGTAAGCCCTTCTAGTTATTCTATGTGAGCTGCCACCACAGCATGGCTACTGACAGATGTGTGGTGTGGTTCTGTGCCCAGGAACCAAACCCAGGCTGCTGAAGTGGAGCATGCCAAACTTTAACCACTAGGCCATCAGGGCTAGCTCTCAGAGGTTATTTTTAAAATGAGAATTCCAGAATGACTTAGTACTTTATAACTTAGTACTCTAAGTAAACTATGACTTAGCACTCTAAACTATAAATATTTGTATTTATAATTTGATTTAAAAGTAAATATTGAATAATTAAACAGTTCTTTCTGACAGCCCCCCTTGCAAAAAAAAAAAAAAAAAAGACAACTCAAGTAATGGGCTCAAAAGCAGAATGAAAAAGAAGGAAGAAAGAATCAGTAAAGTTAAAAACAGAGAATAAAAATTACCTAATCTAAGCAACAGAGGAAAAATAGACCAAAAATAAAAGAAGAAAGCCTCGGGGACTTGTGAGACTATAAAAAGAAGATTTAACATTTATGTCATTGATGTCTTGGAAGGAGAGAAGAAATAGGATATGGGTGAAAAAGTATTCAAAGAAATAATGTTTGAAGACTTTACAAATTTTCAAGAAGCTAAGTGAATCCAAAATAAGAGAAACCAAAAGAAATCTACAAAAAGACAAATAATAATTAAATATCAGAAAACTAAATACAAAGAAAAAATCCTAAAAGCAGTGAGAGAGAAATGATGCTTTACCTGTAGAAGAAAAACAGTTTGAACCACAATAAATTCCTTATCAGAAACAATAAAATTCA